CCACGAAATGAGTAATTGGAATTGATAGATAAATCTATAAATTAGACAAAAATCCTGAAATACCTGCGAATTCTGATGTCAGAAATACAAAATCTGAAGTAAACCATTAAAATTCCTTCACGTAACACTATCAAGTTACCTGTTCTCCTATAGGAGTAGCTTTACATTGCGCAGACTTAGTAGCCAGTGTGTACAACGAGCAAGGGAACTGCAGGCCAATACTATGAAGTGAAAACAGGCGCTGATCTCATGCACGTGGAATAATCATTCGTAGTATTATACATTTTAGTGTAGATAATAGATTTGAAAATACTATGAATAAGATGTATGAATTGGAAACAGTAACGTCCTGAATGTTTAACTCCAATTCTCAGAGAGAATGCCCAATTGGAAACACGCCAATTGTAAAAAAATATCGACAGCTTTGGCGACATCAAGAATGAATAAATTGTGACACGTGTTTTGATTGCTGCAAACAAAATAGCTATTTTAAGGAAATTTCTACTAATTGTACCAGTTTACTAGGTAGTACTGGGTGCGTATTTGACTTCGTGTTTATTTGTCTGCTAAACAAATACAAATCAAAAACGACTTCAGAAATATATGCCTGAGCATTCTCTCTGAGAATTGGTTTTAAGTCGTTTCATTGCTTTATGTATCATGACATACAGCGTTACTATTCTGGCTGCCTCCTTTCTAATGTCTTGGCATTCTGTCAAGAACAACTACGTCATACATGCATTCTGATACCAGTCTGATAAAACCTACCTGTATTCTTGCCAAGTGTGATCCACTTAACACGCCAACATCTGACGCATCAGTGACAAAAATGCAATCTGAAGCAATCTGCTCTTTTGACTTGTCTCAGAAGTTCCCGATGTTTGTTTTTTTCAACTGAGCAACAGTTTCTGACTTTCTGTCGTGTTCATAGTGAATGCCACCGGTTGGGCAGGTTGCACTCACCGTCTCCTGAACACCTGTGGCCGTATGCATATGTCGGGCGTAAATTCTAGTCCGGGCGTAAGTAAAATGTGCGCCCGGACGTAACGTTAACCGGTATGTACATAGTAGACGTAGTTAAAGTTACGCCAGTCGTAGCGCTCTATATTTACGCCACCTACCCAGCAGGCGTAAGCCAGGCGTAGCCTTGTAATGGCGGCACTGGATGCCGAGTTTTTTTATCAGGCGCACATTTTCAAAAGTTTTTAAAAGTGAACGTTGTGCGAGAATTGCGCTCGCGTGGGTCTGGATCTGCGTACGGCTATAAAATTACACAAAAATGTAGAATATTGAATTTCATATCCGTTGGTATAAATATAAGTGCGACTACCTCGGCGGTTTGAGAAATAGACACTGCTAAATGTTGTCTAAAATTTTGTTACGCGTTAAGAAACTGTCAATTTCTCCGCTTTCTGTCGTGCACCGATAAAAGCACTCTGCTACGATTTTTTTAAATTGGCATCTTTACAGAAAGTGTGAGCGAAGAAAATACAGCCTGATATCTGAACGACGTAAGTGTATATGAATTGGGTTTATGTGCTAATGCATAACGTTAGGCGCTCAACATTAAAAATGACTCGCAATAAGTGTCAAAAATGGATTTTCTTCTATGACGTCAACTGACGACAGAGAGGTCATACACGTATAAAAGATAAGGGGGCATAACTGAGTTATGCTTAACAGTAGGTCAATGTTACTCAGATCACTTGGAGAAAAGTTGTTGTGGATACTTACGCTATATTTTCGTTATGTTGTGTTCACGGTGAACCAAACTATTCCATTACAAAGTTCCCCAATGTGAGCGGATACCTTTTGGTAGTTTCACAATTTATAAGAAAATATGGCAATGTACTACTTAAGAAAGCAGAATAGCGATTTGGATGGCCCTATCCGATATGTAAGTTAGTTCTTAGATTCCCATATTCTCCTGTTTGTGTAGATGTATATTGACTAATTTTGCATCATTATTAACGGAGTACTAGCCATATCTTCAAATGTACTGAAATTACTGATAATAATACAACATTTTAGTTGACGTCAGGGCTTGTTATATGCATTTTGCGACGTCGAAAAAGACGACATTGGTTTGCTGATTAGTATATATCTTACCTAAATTCCATTAATTGTATGAAAGCTTCTATGTCTGAATTTAACACTCTTTAGACCAAACATAAAATGAATGATTTTACCAATTAAATAGTGTCCTGAATATATCAACAATTAGACGGTTTGACTGCGTATCTTATTGTGAGCAACACGCGCACCTGTTTGGCATCAATTTAACGTAAATGAAAAATAATATTTCACAACACCCAAATATTTTGCAGTTATGGCTACGTGTGCCAATTTCTTATGTAAATTTTATTCAAACAATCAAAAACCTTTAAAGAATAAAAAACGCGTACCCTATATCCAGGTATAATGTGGTATTGAACAAGGCTAAATGTATATACTGAAAATAGTTTGATGAAAAAATATCTGAACGATACGCAAAGTATACATCATAATACTGAAAGTGTAATCGGAAGGATAGAGCGATTGTGTTTACACTTGTTCAACCGACCTTCACCTCAAAGAAATTGTCTAACATGTACAACAATGTTGACGTATGACATCACTACCACCGACCGATTACTTATGAAATGGCGGCCACGCTGACAAGGGTACACAGGATTTTGCGAGGACCCTTCCCTTGATTCAGGGATCGTTTGTACATAAATATGAGATGTAAGTAATCAGAATGATTCTGACTATATGTGTATTGTTATATGTTTTATCGTTTTCATTGTAAGTAAGAGAAGAAGCCAGAAATGCTGATAAAAACCTTTGTCGTTCTGCGTCAGTCATGGCGTCATGCTGCACGGACACTTCGACAATTCTTATGAAATATCAAATGATTGCATTGCTTCTTTTTTTAATTTCCCATTTCTTGCTACGATACTCTTTCCATGCATATTCTAAAGCTATTGAGCCATTGCAAGCAATGAATAGACGGCTGCATGTCGGAAAATTTCAGAAAATGCTACGTAGTATAAAAATCGGAATTTTTCTTTCTTTACAAGCGCAGCCTTTCGAGCACAGCGTATTGACACTCAATATCTTTCGTTTCATTTTATCCAGACAGTTGATATTGGTGACAAAGACCATTAGTAATTTGATTCTAAAATGTATGGGGAATTCAGTGATGCATTTGTCGCAGGTAAATGTGATATACACGTGATGTAATTGGCGTCTCATTACCGTCCTCCGCGAAACTTGATTTTGTAAACACTATCCAATATGACGGAAAGCGCACTTCGGGGTTCGTGTTTACAAGTGTATTTTCAGAATTATCATTAGTGATTTCATGAAAACCTGATATCAGTGATCATTAATATGCTATTTTTGAAATTCAATACATCTGAGTAGTAATTATCCGATTTGAACATTTGAAAACATACACCAAATAACGCTGTTCACACGAATCGTGATTTCGTAATGTGTCAAATATGGCGACATTTATGGTGAAGCCCATTTTGAAAGTCCATGTTATTTCTCCATCAGGATCCATCGGTAAAGTTGGGTTTTCTCGGTTTTCCTTGGCTTTCCATGATTACGGCTGCAAGGGATGTACCGCGAAGTTGTTTCGCGCCTTTACCGGTGGTTTAAAAACGTTCGAAAATCTAAAAATAGCACACCGCGCCTTGACGTAAATCCGTTAAGCCGGGCGTAGTAACGCCTAGGCTTAACCGACGTTGTGCATGACGTGTAAGAGGAGGGCACTGCTAAGCCCGACGTAGTGTGTTACGGCTGACGTTAGCTACGCCCAACATGTGCATACGGCCACTGGTGTCATCACTGTGATTAGTGAACACCTGTGGCAGTATGGATATGTCGGGCGTAAATTCTAATCCGGGCGTAAGTCAAATGTGCGCCCGGGCGTAACGTTAAAACGGTATGCATATCTTCGACGTAGCTAAAGTTACGCCAGGCGTAGCGCTCTATATTTACGCCACCAACCCAGCAGGCGTAAGCCAGGCGTAGCCCTGTAATGGCGGCAGTCCTACACCGATATCGCAGGCGACAGTTCTACAGAAACCGTGTATTGAGAGATAGGTCAAACCCTTTAGAAATATACGACGACCTTGATCTGTACAGAAGATTTAGATTCAGGAGAATTGACATTTTCAAGATAGTGGATACAATCAGAGGTGATATTGAATATGGCTCGTACCGCAATTCTACCCTTACCCCGGAAATACAGGTACTCGTAGCCTTACGGTTTTATGCTACGGGATCATTTCAAAATGTAGTTGGGGATACTGTCAATGTTCATCAGTCTACGGTTGGTCGAACAATTCGCAGATTTTTATTGTCTCTTCAGCGGTGAATGAATCAGTGGATCTACTTTCCCGATCAAAACGAACTCGAATCACTGAAAGACAGTTTTACAATATGGCAGGGTTTCCCGGTGTAGTAGGATGTGTGGACGGAACACATGTTAGGATCCAGGCTCCAAAAGAACAAGAATATAATTATGTCAACAGAAAAGGGTACCACTCTATAAATGTTCAAGGTGAATGTGATGCAAGTCTGAGAGTGTTAAACTGTGTTGTAAAGTGGCCCGGCTTTGTTCATGACTCGCGGATGCTAAGGGAGAGTCAAATGTTTGTTGATTTTGAAAACAGACAAATAGACGGCATCATTCTCGGGGACAGTGCCTACCCTCTTCGCACCTGGCTGATGACACCAGTCAGGAATCCCAGATCAAGACAGGAGGAACGTTATAACTATGCACATGCATCAACAAGAAACTGTATTGAGAGATGCTTCGGCTTGATAAAGCGCCGGTTCCATTGCGTTCACTCGGAGTTAAGATACCCACCAAAACGATGTTGCGCTATTATAAGTGCAGTGTTTGTGCTACACAACATGGCTATTGAGTTCGGGACGCCACTCGAAGACGACTATGAGGGCGATGACAATGGTGACAATGATTGGACATTCACAACGTAGCCGAACCCCACAATGCCAAGTTAAAAAGAGACAGGATAATTCAGAGATTCTTTGGACAGTAACTCAGCAGACTCAGCGTACATTCCATCAAAGTTTTCAAATAACAACAGAGATATACATTCTGAGAGCTCAATGTTATAATTCCAATACAGTTCCTGTACACTGCAATAATATTGTTGAATATTACATTAAAGATATTTTACTGTAATTAACTTGAATAAACATACTCATTTCATACATAACGTGACTGTAAAGTAAGGTTTAAATGTAGTTGAAACATATCACTTTAAAGTTCAGTACAGTTGAGAATGCGCATATTACTTAGTCTGCATATCTCAGTTCAACACTCAGGAAGAATAGGAAGAGTGTAAATGTCGGGCTGTTCAAGTCTTCTTTCCAGCAGCTTGATCTCCACTTGAATCTTAATGGTCTCCGCTCTTGCTCTCTCAGTTCCAACGTGTGCTCTCTCAGTCTGTGCTTTGGCCCTCTCGATCTCCTGAGCTAGCAGCTGCTGGTAGAGGTCATCATCAGTGGCCTTTCGCTTCGTGAGACGCGGCGCACTCTTGTCTAAAAGGAGGGTGCATGGTGTAAAAATTATTTGCAAATGTTAAACCGATAATTCATTAAGACATTCATGTCCTTAACATTTATAGATCGACAAAATTGTAAAATTGTAAATCAATGTAAAATCAATATCCAAAAAATAAAATAAAATAGAAATGTTTGTTTTTCTGTGGGGTTTCGAACCAAGGTCACCAGTACAGAAGGCGACGTAACTAACCACTAGACCAATTATCTCCCTTGAATCAAGTAGACAAAAATTTTCTACAGTATTGTTTTTTTATATGTTGTCGAGTTGTGACAATCTATATATTTGAGACAAACAAGAATATACTTTATGGTGTAAAAACCCCAATTCAACTAGACCCATAGCCTTGAACAAATTTAGTAGATCTACTAAATTCTATCATTTGAAGATATGATAGATATAAATTTGCACTACTATGAACAAATCAATGTTCGTAAATTTATATGCGTAAATAGATTGATAAATGTTCGTAAACTGAACTAATCTACATTGGTAGATGTAGATCTGCTAATAAGAAAACAATTAAAAACATGGCCAGGACCTAGCCTACATACCATATTCAGAAGACTGAGGGGTGGTGTCAGGACATTGGGGAGCAGTCACTGTCGTTGTTGATGTCCCGACTGTCGTTGCTGATGTTCCGACGGTCGTTGCTGATGACTGGAGTACTGACGAAGTTGATGGTTCAGGGAAATCTGATGATGCCCGTGATATCTGTGAAAACGGTGCCGAAACAGTATGGCCAGATTCTACACCTTCCTCTATACCGACAAGAGACGATGACTCTGTACCGATAATGTCTAAAACCCAGGACGTGTAAGCCGAGTCTTTGTGTTGAGGACCGCCTCCAGTTGTTGGGTTTTTATGCGCAGCAATGTCTTTCTTAGCTTTTCTCAAAAGATCCTTCCACTTTTTCTTTACTTCATCCAAATCCCGGGTTATGCCAGACGATCTCGAGTTGATCAGATTTGTAATTTTCTTCCAAACGTCTTGTTTACGCCGATTAGTTATGTTGTTTGAAAGTCTGGAGATGAGAAGTTCCTTATTGTCTCCGTACATCTCCAAAAGACATATTATTTCATCATCTGTAAAAGTTGGGTTTTCTCGGTTTTCTTTGACCTTCCATGATTACGGCTGCAACGAATGTCCCGCGAAGTTGTTTCGCGCCATTTCCCGGTGGTATAAAAACGTTTGTAAATCTAAAAATAGCACACTGCGCCTCTACGTAAATCCGTTAAGCCGGGCGTAGTAACGCCTGGGCTTAACCGACGTTGTGCATGACGTGTAAGAGCAGGGCGCTGCTAAGCCCGACGTAGTGTGTTACGCCTGACGTTAGCTACGCCCGACATGTGCATACGGCCACAAGTCTCCTGTGTGGTTGTCTTGTTTGTTTTCCGACGTCGACAATGGCTCAGGTGCTGTACATAACATCTCCAGAGATAATGCTCTATTTTGATCACCACACTAGGTCGGACAATATCTTCACCATTCCAGGGGCAACATACCCATGGTGCTTAGAACGTCGTTTGTAAGCAAGCCGTTGCTTTACTTAATCATCTTTTAGTGTTGAAGAGGACCTGATACCTGAACAATGACTACATTCACTTTACATATATGTACTGTGATATAATAGACAACAGTAACACATTGTAATTTAATGCAAAACAAGTGTTACCACGTAACCAAATTGTACAACATTGAAGATGAGTCGGTCGTCTTTCAACATTATCGTTTTTCACAAAAACTAAAACGTTTATGCACTACATCTAGCTTGCCATCGGTGAATGTGCCGGCATTCTACGTCTGTTACATAATTCCTACATAAATCGTTAATACATGTCCAACCACTTCCACTCTTTCCACCTATCGACATGATCGACATGATCGATACCATATCCAAATACGTCACGAAGAATAAAGCAATTGGCATTTTTAATTCTGTTTGAAATTCTGTTTTCTATGACATCATCTGCTCATTGTAAGGCAAGTATACTGCATCGCAATTCTGGCCAGTTTTGACACATTACGAAATACACACAGTTAGTTTAGTTAACGTCAGAGTGAATTTTCAGCCATATTGCAGAGTGTTTATAAAATCACGTCACACGTACTCTTACACGAATCCCTGAATTCATCATACAGGTAATAAATATCAAATGGTCTTTGTCACCAATATCAAGTGTTTCAGTTAAATCTAAGGAAATATATCTGATGCCGCGCTGGGAAAGGACCACGTCGTTTGAAATGTAAACAAAGTCGAATTCTGATTTCACTCTGTGTATCTGTTCGCCTACTTTGTTGCATACACTTGCTCACTAGTTTTAGACCATGTACGGGAAAGGTATTGTAGCAAGCGATAGTTAACTAAAATAGGTGTAATCCAATGATTTCCGAGATTCATCACAACATATTATAGTTTCTGAAAGCGTGACGCCATGACTGATGAAAAATTCACGCACGGCGACGATGGAAGTTCTCCTCATTTCTGACTATTTCCCTGGTCACAATGAAAACAAAAAGAAAATAAGAACCAGCAGATTGTCAGAATGTTTCGGACTACTTACATGTCACATTTATGTATATACGTTGCTTGAAACAACGAAATTTCCCGTCGAAAAATCCGGCGTATTTTGAGAATGTCTCTTCTCGATAGTGATGTCATACGTACGTGAACATTATTGCACATATTTGGTATTTTCATTGACGTGAGGTTATGAATGAAAATACACACGATCAATCTGTCCTACTGCTTACATTTTCAGTTCTTATGCTTTTTTCGTATTAGCACAAACTTTTCTCACGTGATTAATTTCATTATTATTATCTTTTGATTTGGGACTAGACAGGAGACCAGTCTAAATTCAAGTGGCACCAATAACGTCATAATCAAAGGGCGGTAACTCTGGCCTGTTTAGCTCGGCAAACAAGGACCACATGATGGCATAACATTTCAGCACTTATTTTGAGGGACGTTATACTTTCATTGTAAGAAAAATGAGTGTATAATTTCAAACATTGATATCAAATATTGAAAATATTTCATTTTGTTTCACATAAGAATAACTGTGATTTTATCGTGTACACTTCCCCTTTAAGATATACGATAAATCCTGTAAAGTAACACGTGACTTATATCCTGTAATGTGAGTGAGTGATCATCGTTTTACGCCGCATTCAGCAATTATCGCGACAAGGGGCAATTATTCGAACCTGAGTCTACAGCGTGACGAGGAGAAGCTTTAACCATTAGGCTACCCTACAAACCTCTGTAATGTAATGCGCGACATAAATCTTGTACAGTAATACATTGAGGCCCCTGATATGTATTATTCAATAAAAGTAGGAGGTGTTTTATTTGGGGTTCAACTACAGGAACATGCACCATTATCTATTTTGTTACGCTGATTCTCATCCGGCATTCCAAGCCACACTCTCAGAGTCTGGCACCTAATCGCCAGCACACAAAGTCAGCCATCTAACTCATTCAGCTACCGCGGCTGCCACAACAGTGTAAGTCGGACTTCTGGTAGTGTGGACCACGGACTTTGTGCACCCCTCTGATAAATGTAAATTGGCACGACTCTCACGGCCGAAAGCTATGAATACCCCTTTGTGGACTCAACCCAACAAATGTACTAGAATCTGTACTTCACTGACAAAGTGTAATCCCAGCTATAACGCTTTTAGCAGAGATTTCTGATGAATGTCTAAAGGGTTTTGTCGCTTCTATTTACAATATATTTGATGTTACTTTAACAGTGACAATACACAGAACAGTCTTGTACCTACGGAGTACTTGGCACTTATATCCATTTCAATATTCTCAGGTAGGTATCGCAATGTCGGTTGTTATGCTGCCACGTGTAGGCACACTACTGGTGGAGCATGTGTTTCCACGAGCTGGCATTCTGTCAAACACTTGAGTCGGGCTATATTACCACGTTTACCCGGCGGCGAGGCAGTCGTCCTCTTAGCTGCGCGCTACACAGTACACGTGCACAATGGAGGTACCAACTATTATATTCATCAGTCTCGTGCTCTGCGGTGCCAAAGACGTACAGGCTGATGCCAGTTTGGTCAGAGTTGGATACACGGGTTGGCCAGGTTGAAAGAGATATTGATGCATGGAAACGCACAACTGGTGGTAATCAGATTAGAATGATTAAGGACTTTAAAAAGTTTGAGTCGTCACTGAAAGAAGAACTGACCGGAACATTCGTCCCTACCCTGATAAGGCGTCTAGTCAACCAAGCTATTACTGACATCCTGACAGAAAAGTATATTAGCAATATTATCAGCCGACGTGTTCTCCATGAAGTTGACAGCCTGAAAGCTGACTTCATGACGCTGAATACACGTTGTGTGATGATGAGAAACGAGGTTGAATCGTGCATGGATGGCCTACAGAAAATCCAGCAGAAGTTACCCACAGACATGCAGAGTTTAACCTCTCAACTGAACCAGACCAAAGAAGATCTGCTTGATACAAAGGAAGTAATCAGTGGACTTACAGAGGACTTTATTACGCTGAATACAAGTTGTGGTATGAGGAAAGAGGTAAAACCTAGTGATGGAAATGAAGGTTCGTCATTGTCGCAGGTGTCACCCACGACTCCAACCACGACGTATCCTGGAACTACAACAGGTGAGACTGTTTGCAGAGCTTTGTCGCTTAATTAACAATCTATCTTGATAGTACAACCGTCAGATATGAGAATAAGAAGTTAAGTATAGGGGTTTACAAGGCATGTAAACGTTGGGTCAGAAGGTAAAACCAGCCTAGGGCTTACAAGGCATGTAAACGTTGGGTTAGCAGGTAAAGCCAGCCTAGGGCTCACAAGGCATGTAAACGTTGGGTTAGCAGGTAAAGCCAACCTAGGGCTCACAAGGCATGTAAACGTTGGGTTAGCAGGTAAAGTCAGCCCAGGGCTCACAAGGCATGTAAACGTTGGGTCAGAAGGTAAAGTCAGCCTAGGGCTCACAAGGCATGTAAACGTTGGGTTAGCAGGTAAATCCAGCCCTGGGTTCACAATGCATGTAAACGTTGGGTTAGCAGGTAAATCCAGCATAGGGCTTACAATGCATGTAAACGTTGGGTTAGCAGGTAAAGCCAGCCTAGGGCTTACAAGGCCTGTAAACGTTGGGTTAGCAGGTAAAGTCAGCATAGGGTTTACAAGGCATGTAAACGTTCGGTTAGCAGGTAAAGTCAGCCCAGGGCTCACAAGGCATGTAAACGTTGGGTTAGAAGGTAAAGCCAGCCTAGGGCTCACAAGGCCTGTAAACGTTGGGTTAGCAGGTAAAGTCAGCATAGGGTTTACAAGGCATGTAAACGTTCGGTTAGCAGCTAAAGTCAGCCCAGGGCTCACAAGGCATGTAAACGTTGGGTTAGAAGGTAAAGTCAGCCCAGGGCTCACAAGGCATGTAAACGTTGGGTTAGCAGGTAAAGTCAGCATAGGGCTCACAAGGCATGTAAACGTTGGGTTAGCAGGTAAAGTCAGCCTAGGGTTCATAGGGCATGTAAACGTTGGGTTAGCAGGTAAAGTCAGCCTAGGGCTCACAAGGCATATAAACGTTGGGTTAGCAGGTAAATCCAGCATATGACTCACAAGGCATATAAACGTTGGGTTAGCAGGTAAAGTCAGCATCGGGATCACAAGGCATGTAAACGTTGGGTTAGCAGGTAAAGTCAGCACAGGGCTCACAAGGCATATAAACGTTGGGTTAGCAGGTAAAGTCAGCCTAGGGCGCACAAGGCATGTAAACGTTGGGTTAGCAGGTATAGTCAGCCTAGGGCTCACAAGGCATGTAAACGTTGGGTTAGCAGGTAAAGTCAGCCCAGGGCTTACAAGGCATGTGAACGTTGGGTTTAGCAGGTAAGGTCAGCCTAGGGTCTTGAAACCGTGTAATCGCTGGGTTAACGGGTGATGCCAACACAAGGTTTACAATAAAGATATCGCATTTTGCTGTCAAAGAACATGATCTGATGATGATAAACAGTTGAATTTAACCTCATCAGGATACTGAAATCAAGCAAATTATACCATAACAATCCGTATGAAAAATGCGCTCGCTCAGTAACAACCCGGAAAATGTCATGTAACAATCCGTTGTATCTAAAATGCACCCCTCTCTCAGAAAACATGTATTTACGCATTAACCAATGACAGTATTTCATTTATGTTTGACTTATCGTTTAATAGAATGATTTTTGCAAATCAAAGTATGTACAACTTTAATTAAGATTATTTGAATAGAAAATAATTGTCGCTTTACTAAGTCAAGAAAAGATTTAAGAGGTAACATTTTTTGAAATACACAATGCCATTTTAGAAAGTGGTCAAATGTAACATATGTTATATTTGGGATTACACTTTCTTAGAAAAGTACGGATTCGAACCTACACCCTCAGAGTCAGGCACCTAATCGCCAGCAAAAATGGATTGAAGCCCATTTCTGGTGTCCTCCGCCGTGATATTGCTGGAATATTGCTAAAAGCGGCGTAAAACCAAACTCAGTCAGTCAGTCAGTCAGTCAGTCAGTCAGTCCACAAAAATGGAAGTTGGACAACTGGCAGTCTAGACTGCGGACTTTGTGTACCCCTCTGATAAGTGTTAATTGGCACGGCCGAAAGCTATGAAATACACAATGCCATTTTAGAAAGTGGTGCCAGCTGTAGTGTCTACGTTAAACGATATTGGCAGACTAAGAGAATGGACTGAATTTCATCGAGTGCTTGCTGATAATAAACATTTCCTACCGATAATATTGCTTTCCAATGGTTCGCCGATGTTACACAGTGGTTTTCTGCAAGAACAACAACAAATATGAGATACAGTAAACAGGTAACAACCCGTAACATGCACGTTCACAATCCGGAACCGGTTAGTACAATCCGTTACCAAACAATTACTCCCTCCCCCTAATCAACATCAATTATCAACAACTAAAACAATCATAAGTGTTAGTCTGATATGAAATTTTCAAAGAATAATGATTAAAGTTTTCGATGGTATAAGATACACTGGATTATTTTGTCCACATTAGGATATTTTAAGTTTTCTTTCCATTGAGAGACATTGAGCCTACACAACTCAGCAACGATTTTGCCTTAAACATTAATTGCCATGATTAATGACAGCAAAAATGACCATTCCGTAATGATGCATCATCATGTTTACACCAAAGTGCACTTTCACGACTATAAAAGGTAAAATAAAATTTTCCTGAGCTAAACTAAATACCTACCCAACACGGAAGTTCCCATAACAATCCGTTGTGTTCCCCATAACACTCCGGAATTCCAGTAACAATCACGTCACCAAAGGCGCGTATTATAGGGTGTGGACCTGACAAAGTAAAAGAATCTCAGTATGGCAGAAACCTGAACTTCAGGGTGAATGAAACCCTACACTAGATAATAAACCCTTTCTTTCCTTGTCCATGAATGCCAACATTTGTTGAATGCCCTGGTAGTGGAGCTAAATCGCCCTTTCATGATTAACACCACACCAACTGGTTTTCCAAGCATGGAGGAGGTTACCCCGGGGAGTCAGGCAGTAGAAGACTGCAAACTGTGTATTTCGTTTTTGAATTACTTCACTAATTACCGAACTGTCTGCTTGCAGAAGTTTATGTGTCTGACAACTTCTAAAACATATCACCGCGTTATAATTACAATTGCCTGATGGCTAGATAAACGCTGCAGCTAGCATGTACAGATTACAGCCACAAACCGATGTTTTACTTTCATTTCCCAATAATCATGACATAAAATTAACAGGGAACTGACTATTATTCTGGATATTAAGGATGCGGTATCTAAACATAAATATCTATTTCACACCTTGACTGAGTTGGGGAACACCTGTCTGCACTTAGCACAACAGGCTCAGAATGCACAGGTTGTGTTTCAAGGTAACATTTAGTGTTTTACCCTCACTGGAAGTACGTTTATGGTTTGGTTGACAGAATCATCGCAGCTTACATATTTCTAAGCCTCTGGGGTCTAAGGATATCCACATATAACACGCATTGAAAGGGTAAATTTATAATTTGGTAAACAAATATTAGGAGCTGTGTGATGCAAACAATCGGTGAATTAGGGAAGTACCTGATATGGTTATACAATTGTTGTCCAAGCCATGGCATAGGTAATTTATTAATACAAAATCAGTTGTCATATGTTGCTTTCATCTGACAAAACCGGAGGGCAAACATGGGTCGGATAGAAATATTTCGATAGATCTACAGAGTTGTTGGTATGGGTGCTGTTGTACAAAAACAACCTTAGCGCTAAGACTACCTTAAGTCTATGTTAAGCTATGGGAGTTACGGCCACCTTAGCGCTAAGATTGCTTTGTACAACGGCACCCAGTACAAGCAATCGAGCCGCGCCAGACTTTCACGTACTCCTGACCTGACATGTCACAATGACGTCATAGCCGGCAGCTTTGCGGTCGTAGTGTCGCCAGTCAAGGCATTTCATAACTAGCAGGGAGATGTGTCGCTCGTGTTAGGACGTTATTGGAGGGTAAGTTCTCAGTTTCTGCTTTTAACTAATTAAGGAAATTGATGAAATAGTGTAAATGTACATTGTACAACTGCTGTTAAGCAGTATGAAAGTTATAAGAACCAAGTGCTTGCTTCACACAATTTTACACCCAGACGTTTGTTTAGCCTGTCATCGGGCGGGGATGAAGGAAGGTCTGGGTAAACAACGATGCGTTTCACCTGATAGACTTGTTATATTTGTAACATATGTTATATTTGGGATTACACTTTGTTATATTTGATCAAATTATGTGCTTGTAAGTTTCATCCTTTACAACTGTCACGGAAGATTTTATGAGATTATTTCAAATCTGTCCAGTCAAGTAACGGATGTGTTTCTTGTGCATATCTTTTATTCTTCGTCAATGAATAACTGCATTGCATTAAAATACATCCCCGCTACAGCACACGGCCAAAACTATCAGCTTATTGTTTAAGCTTGCGTGCTTCTCTATATATAAGACGCGCTGTGCGCGTCACTTACTGCCGAAGGCAGAAACAAGCGACTTCGGCTTCCGGGTGCGGGGACCCGTAAAGTGCAGTTTACCCAATGTTTACATTGAAGGCCTGTAGCTTTGCTCTTTTAACGCAGAACCCTTTATGTGGAACACATGCTTTTCTGCAACATTTTAAAAATATGCTATGGAATGTAGATTAAGGAAGGGCAAATGTGCTTTGTTCTCGTTATTTCTAACATTGAAACAGGCGGAATGTTAATCACTCAGACAGTCGACATTTCAATCTTTACTACCACACAATGCCACGTACGCGTACACTTTGTTCGTTATCAAAGCACATTGCTTCCAACAACAAGTACGGTTGTGTCAGCTACAATTTCCGCCTCAGATAGTAGTGTGAGAATTGTACTGCCGCCGTCACTCGGTATGAGTGCTTGACAGAGTTTGCCTGACACTATCTTTAAACTGTGTTGCACAAACACCGCGTCAATTGCCATGCTGCCCTTCTCACTGCCTGAAGTATAATCTGCTTCACATTAGAATTTTCGGAATTGCCTAAAATACCATGTACATTAAACAGGGAGGGTGGAGTGGGGACATCAAGGAAAGGCAGTTTTGAATTCCAGTCACGATTAATGAAGTCTAAACTGATGGTGATTCCATAAAGAGGAATTATGAGTAGGTATAAGTGCAGACGGTTTTGTTTGTTTATCTATTTTTTCTTTCAGTGTAATAAGGTGAATAATCATGGATACGAAGTCCCCGTAGAATATGATCGCCCCTAACCTAACCCTAACCCTGGGGGCGAACAGATTCTTGAGTTTCACCGTTCATGTTATGTTCAAAACAAAATAACAATCTATTCAGTTACAACATTTCAACAAAGCGGAGGATCTCAGCTTTTAACACACAGCCATTGCACAGCTTATTACATTTTCAGATTCAAACTGTAAAAATAAATTAAGAAGTGTTCCTTTTTTTCCTGCAGAGACACGCGGTCGTGATGAACAGGTATCTCAATCAAATCAAACCATATATATTTAATACCTCTGCTATAACAGATGTATTTAGAATTCATCAATACATAATATTAAAAAGCAAAACATGTGGACTTAGGGTAGTAGTTATAATGCTTATGCGCTATGTATATTTTTTTTTAACAACATATTCCCTGTTTCAGCCCCGACTAATACGAGCCCGAGAAAGACGGTTCCACCAGTGACGACACAAGACTCTGATCTACACGGTAGGTGGGAAAACTCAACGGGCAGGAAGCTCAGTCCTTAATTCTCCTTGCATTTAACACGCTGGTGTATATATAAATATACCCGTGGATATTCTGAGATAAGTATCGCCTATGGTATCCATCGACAATCATGTTGTCAATCACAGGATTTCATGAACCGGGTATTTATGTTGAGGTCGCCATCAGACAGCTGGAATACTGCTGAGCGTGGCGTTAAGCAACAAACAAATCACTGTGACATAAACTAACGTTTTATCTTATTACCCTAATATATACCAAACAACAGTTGTACTGACTTTATCAACTTGTAAAGTTCAACAAACATCAACACTCTCCACACGTACACAAAATATTGCTACAACTCTGGCTCTAACAGAAAGTTACGTATTCAACACACCATCCATAATTCCTGAAACCATACGTTGACATTCCCGCCATGTTGTATTGTTGTCAGCCATGATGGAATTGTTTAAATGGTGTAGCAATGTCCGAGTCGCGTATCAACATGATGAAAATATTGTAGATGTGTGACAAAGATGTCTGATGTACACAGTTTACTTTGTGTTGCAGCGACTCCATCACAAGCAGACCGCCGCCTCTACTACGCCAGCGAGGACGGTGACCTGGAGAGAGTGAAGCGGATCCTGGCAGCGGGTCACGTGGACATCAACACTAGAGGAGGAGGGTACAGCAAGACACCAGTGATGATGGCAGCATATAGAGGACGCAGAGATGTGGTGGAGTTCCTGGTAGGTAGAGGGGCTGATGTGTCACTGGTGGACGTGGACGGTAACAACGTCCTTCACTGGGCCTGTCTGGGTGGACACCTGGAGATTGTGAAGCTTATCCTGTCCCTGAACGAGCTGGACGTCAACGCCAGGAACAAGTACGGGCGGACAGCGGTCTTCTGGGCGAGACGCAGGGGACATCAGCGAGTGTTGCGTCTCCTGGTGTCACGTGGTGGACACTGAAGTCAGTGTTGGTGTGGGACAGTGACGGTGCACATGTCGTTACTGACACTGACGTGGTGTGTGCCGTCAACGTTGTCGTGTGTCACCATTCGGGTGATTCCCTTTTTCTTTGTGAATATAAATAAAACTTGTTGAAAGTATTTTCAGACATTTTGTCTTTTGATGTGTTTAGAACCTCACGTGATCAGGTAAGAAAACTGTGAAGTGCTTGTAAACATAAACGGTGAGTGATTGTACGTAAACGTCGCCAGTCTTAACATAATTCTGTGTTAATTTTGTTCCGAGAATATCGCGAATTGTGAAACAGACAACAACAAACTGTTTGTTTACGTGTCGCTGCACTCTGTGACCTCAGACTGAGCCGAGGTTCACCCAGTTGAAGTGACGCCATTTGCACAGTGACAGTGACGTCACACTGCTGGTGACGTCACAAATATACACTGAGGTGCCCGGCCGTCTTCTCAGCCAGATAGGACATAGAGCATGCCATACAACATATATTTGTCAAATACCATCATGTGGTCGGGAAGGAAACGTTTGATCATTTAACAAAGGAAGAATGGACATTTGTAGCTGATTACTGCTGAAATTTAACCCTTTTACGATTGAACACACATTATACAAAATCAAACACATAACAATCATCACCCAAATCATCTCAGCTTTATTAATTCAGTGTATGCCAGGAAGACAAATATTTCCCCCAGTTCTCTGTTTCTTGTTGTAACATTGCTATTTAGACAAAGTACAATTGCTGATAAGGCCAGTAAGAATTATATACTTCGTAAATCTCGCCATTTTTGACTAATGAAGCCATTCGCGGCATCGTTTACTGTATGTTGCAAATGTAAATATCGGATAATTACCCGTTGAACTGAATTGAAAAATTGTCTATTAGAGATCACTGGTATGTGGTCTTTTTTAACAAATCGACAATGGTTATTCTGAAACGTCGCCTTTACCCTGAAATCGATTGTTCTGTCTCGGAAGTAGGCAAACAGAAACGCCGATGTGAGATCTCCGTTATGTTTGATGGTGTTTACAGAATCATGTTTCACGTAAGCTGGTCATGAGACGCCTGTTACGTCATAAATATTTTACACCCAGCTGCAACGCACACCCCCCTGAATTCCTGATGCATTTAAAATCATTTGCCTGATGGTCTTTGTCACCAGTTCAAACAGTATTTTTGATATTAACCCCCTGAATGCCCTTCAAATTATGCTGATGATATTAACCCCCTGGATTCCGTTGAAATAATGTTTATGATATTAAACCCCTGGATGCCGTTCAAATAATGCTGATGGTATTAACCACCTGAATGCCGTTCAAATAGTGTTGATGATATGAACCCCTGGATGCCGTTCAAATAATGTTGATGATATTAACCCCCTGGATGCCGTTCAAATAATGTTGATGATATTAACCCCTGGGTGCCGTTCAAATAGTGTTGATGACATTAACCATCTGGATGCCGTTCAAATAATGTTGAAGATATTACCCCCTGGATGCCGTTCAAATGTTGTTGATGATATTAACCCCTGGATGCCGTTCAAAAAGTGTTGATGATATTAACCCCCTGGATGCCGTTCAAATAATGTTGATGATATTAACCTCATGGATGCCGTTCAAATAGTGTTGATGACATTAAACCCTGGATGCTGTTCAAGAAGTGTTGATGATATCAACTTCCTGGATGCCGTTGAAATAGTGTTGATGATATTAACCCCCTGGATGCCGTTCAAATAATGTTGATGATATTAACCCCCTGGATGCCGTTCAAATAATGTTGACATTAACCCCTGGATGCCGTTCAAATAGTGTTGATGATATGAACCCCCTGGATGCCGTTCAAATAATGTTGATGATATAAACCCCTGGATGCCGTTCAAATAGTGTTGATGATATTAACCCCCTGGGTGCCGAGTTGTGTTTTCTTTGTTCTGACACACAAGCCTGAAAAGTGAACGTTGTGCGAAAGTCGTACTCGCGCAGCCCTAAATGTACCTCTGACTATAAAAGGGCACGGTAATGTCGAATATTTAATTAAATTCCCGATCTGATGTATCCGTGAAGATCCGGGTTAGACCTGATCTAACTGGAATCCTGCTAAACTAAACTCACTCACTCATTCCATAAGCGACGTTTGTTTGGTTGTTGTTCAATAGTATTCCTGCTATATGGCGGCGGTCTGTAAATAATCCAGTCTGGACCAGACAATCCAGTGATCAACATCATGAGCATCGATCTACGCAATTGGAAATTGATGACACATGTCAACCAAGTCAGCGAGCCTGACCACCCGATCCCGTTAGTCTCCTCTGACGGCAAGCATAGGTTACTGAAGGCCAATATTCAAACCCGGATCTTCACGGGTATAAACCTATCCGAAGAAATAAATTCAAATATTGACTGTAAATACCAAGCCGGCCTTAAAAGTTGTCCGAAATTTTGTTATGGGTGAAAAAAAAAACAAGAAAAAACCCCAAAAGCCCCCAGTAAAATTAATGTCTCCAAAGCACTGCGCGACGATATCTGTTTTCGTCCTCATGGAATGTGTGACGGAACCAAATAATGTCCAGTTGTATCTGTTGTTCACGATGAACAAAACTATTCCAAAGCAACGATCCACTTTGTAACCGGATGCGTTGTAGTGTCACAAATTACAGGAAATATTAATATCACACAACATGAGAATTCATGCAACAGTGAAAAGGATGGTCCTGCCCCATATCTACATAAGTTCTTAGATTCCCATATTCCGCTGTTTTTTGTAGATGTATTCTGAGTAATTTTTCATCATCATTAACAGAGTACAAGTCACATCTTCAAATGTAAAGAAATTCCTGAAAACATTACACCATGGTTTGCTTTATGGAGTATTTATGTTTTTGCGACGTCAGAAAAGTCGACATTTGTATGTTCATTGATCAACATAAGTACCTCACATAATTCCGTTAATTATATAGAAGGCTTCGTTTTGGCTGCCATTCTTTCCACAGAACATGAAATGAATGAATTACGATTTAAATAGTGCCCTTATAGATAAACAGTTACCAATAGACAGTTTGATTATGTATCTTAATTTAACGTAAATGAAACGAAATGGTTCAAAACACAGGAATATATTTTCAGTTATAGGAGTTTTCTTTATTCATGATGATGTGGTTATTTCTTTTCAAAAGTAATGAAAGATGCCAAAAATAGTTCCTTTTGTGTGGATTTTTCAGAATAACTATTTAAGGATGGAGCAAAGGAATATTAAATATTGAATACTGGACATTATGTACTAAAGCACGTGTTGCAGTTATGCCTACTTTTCACCTAGGGGCTAAAAATATGGGCTAAAAATATGGTTTGCTGCGCTAAATGTGTCACTTTCATCTGTAAATATTGTGTAAACAAGCAAAAAAAAATGCTAAGGATAAAAGACCAGAACATATAGCCTATGTCCATCTATGGCATCATATTATCATATTGAATAAGGCTAAATGTTATAATTTTTCATCTGAGGAAGGAGTATATCTATACCCTGAAACGTTGTGTTCCCGATAACGAAGACGTTGACATTCAAAAAACTCTCCTTCTTATGTTAATGGCTTCTAAATGACATTCAAAGACCTGAAGACTTAATGTAGGTACTGAAATTAGCTCGCGAAAAAATATCTGAAATATACGTAAAATGTACATTATCATACTTCAACTGATGGTATGCTTAGCTTGATAGTATTGTCCAAGAGCGTTCGTTGTGGTACTTTCGGATGGTAGTTCAAGAGGCGGAAGACAAAAGTCAGCAGTATAGTTGACGTCAGCAGCAGCCATGTTTATTATGGTTTGGGAATAATGGTAGAAATGGTTATAAGATGGAAATCACGTGACAGAACGCACATCGGGACCGAGTGGCCAATGTTCCCGATGTGGAGACCCGTTCTGTCACTTACATACATTCAGAAGTCGGACGGCGATTCTTCATCGTCGACGTAGTCGTTGGTGAGGCGACGGCCTTGGCCGACGCCCCGACTAGCCGCA